GGCCGAACCAAAAATGTCAAAAAGTTTGAGAACTAAATTGATGAAATTGAAAGTTTGAGGACTAAAAATTGTTTTAGGTTGCAAATATAGGAACGAAAATAATAATTATTTTACGTTTTTAGTAATTTTCAAGTGAACAACATTTATCTCTAAGCTTTATTTGTGCCGCTAGCTAGCTAGAGCCTAGAAGTAATGCAATTTAACAGTTATTTGCAGATTACATGGAGATATATTTGTACAATTAGTCTAAAATAACCAATTAATTTGTTTTAGACTAATTGCATTACCACCTACCTCATCACATCAAAGATTTGTGAAAGTTGTTAGAATATCAAAAAGAAGAGTAGTCACATGGGGCTGATAAAAGCAACATGTACAAGAAATATATTTGCCATTTGGAATCTTTGAAAGGTAGATTTTAGTTTTACCACTACTATACCAATACACTTTGAGTGCTACGAGTAGGTCTGTGCATTTGGGATAAGGATTTAGGATCACATCCTGTCCCTATCGAGATTTTGTTATTTGGGACTAAATTTTTTGGGAATTTCGGATTACGGGATTCAAAATCAGAATTAGTAATATCAATACCAATACCAATATCAATATCAATATCAATAATCAATACTAATACTAATAGTAATACTAATATTATTACTAATACTAATATTTTGATATGCTAATGATAATATATAAATGCTAATGCTAATGTTAATATTAATACCAATAGTATACTAATATTATAATGCTAATGCTAATCATAATATACTACTTTTAATGATAATACTGATTATTTTGCTAATTCTAATCATAATTCTAATTTTAATGTTATCATAAACCTAATCATTTTCCTAATCGTAATCCTGATGTAATTCTAATCACAATTATAATGCTAATTTAAATCCTAAAAAAATAGAATTATTAATTTACTCTTAATTTTTTTAGAATTGTATTATTATTTATAACTAAAATTTAAAATAAAAATATGTTTTTACTGAATTATGTTCTTCACAAACAGGTTACAATAGTTATTTTACTATCACAGAATTTCATGAGGAAAATATACATTTTATTAGATTTTTCATTTAAGAAAGGCATAAAATATAATTGATTTAATTAGGATTAGATATGGAATCATGTGCCATTTATTCTTTTGAAGATTCATATGTGTATTATCATTTTCTTTTTTATTTGATCAGCAAATTTACCAAACAAAACATTTGATTTTCACACCTAGATATATGCAATTCAAAATACATAATTATTATTAATACTAAAAATCATGAATGTCAAAATAAAGTTCAGCTAAATACGTTGCAAAACATATCAAATCATCGCTCGTATTAATATATGACCACGACTCAATTAGATTACCAACCAACACAAATTGGTCCGACATGGATTTATTGTTAAAAGTAAAATAACAATTATGATATATATATATATATATATATATATATATATATATATATATATATATATATATATATATATCAAAATATACTAACTATATAGATTATATATTCAAGTTGGTATTTTTTTATTAAATGTTTCATAATTCGAAATCAAGTGTAATTTGCAAAAGATCACATTATTGAAAAACAAAAATAGATGGAAAAATAAGAGAAATAAAATCAAAAAACTTTTATAAATAGTCTATTTTTTATACAATTTTAAAAATATAGTTACCAATTTGTATGCTTTCTTATGATTTATACAATTAATGAATTTCTATAAATCGGATTGTAAATTTCCAAAATTAAGCATAGTGATAACATGTTTTTTGAGATTTATTTCCACCAATCAATTTGCCACATGAGATAAAATTGAGGATATGTTACCAGTTAAAATTGCCAAATGTCAAGCAATTAACGGTGAAATTCAACTTTTATATATTATATAGATATATTTTTATAAAATTGTAACACAATATAGTTGTCAATTTTGTGTGTTTACTTATGATTATACAATTAATGAATTTCCATAAACAAGATTTGTAAATTTTCAAAATTAAGCATAATGATGATATGTTTTTTAATGATTTATTTCCACCAATTAATTTGCCACATGCGATCAATCGAGTACATGTTACCAATTGAAATTGTCAAATGTCAAGCAGTTAAGGGTAGAATTCATTTTTTTATATATGGCAAATGGCAAATAGGCTTATGACAAGGGCATTTAATTAAAAAAAAAGGACATCCAACTTTTTTGTCTTTCAAATATTTCCAGTTAATTCAAACTTATTTGCAAATAAGGAAAACCATTTTATATATACCAAAATTACCCCCAATTCATTGAACCCAATTCAACACAAATTTCATGATTTACACCCCGATTTAGCCAAATTTACCAATTAACCAATTTTGACCCCAATTTTGACCCGCCACCACCAGAGATCGCCGGTCAACCGCTGTTGACCGCCGGTATCCGACAATAAGTTTATTATTATTTTTATTTTGAAAACATTTTTTTTTCTGAATTTTTTTCCGGTAGGTTAACCGCCGTTGACCGCCGGGTCTCCGACATTGACTTTTTTTTTTGTTTGTTCTTACAAAAATATTTTAATTAATATTACTGTATTGACTGCTAAATTACTGCCTCCAACAACTATTTAACTGTCGGAGACTGTAATTTAACTGTTAATTGACATTTTTTTCCTAAAAAAAATATTTTAATTAATATTACAGCCAACTGCTAAATTACTGCCTCCAACAGTAATTTAATTGTCGGAGACAGTAATTTAACTGTTAATTGACTTTTTTTTTCTCAAAAAAATATTTTAATTAATATTATTGTCTTGACTGCTGAATTACTGTCTCCAACAGTTATTTAACTGTATGAGACAGTAATTTAACTGTTAAATTACTTCTTTTTTTTTGAAATTTTGTTTTTTCTTAAAAAAAATTATTTTAATTAATATTACTGTCTTGGCTGGTAAATTACCGTCTCCAACAATAATTTAACTGTCTGAGAAGTAATGCTATTGTATTAATTAATTTTATCGTCTTGGCCTTCAATTTTGCTGTCTTCGACTGTAATATTACTATCTCCAACCGTAATATTATTGTCTCATGCAATGGAGCAGTAATATTAGTAATAATATTGTTTGGGAAAATAATATTCATAATAATACTGTCCCAAACAGTAATATTACTGTCTCAGACAGTAATTTAGCAGTCAAGACAATAATATTAATTAAAATAATTTTTTTCTAAGAAAAATGTTTTTTTTTTAAATCAAAAAAAAAAGTCAACGCCGGAATCTGGCCGAAAAAAAAATTTCAAAAGAAAAATGATTTTTTGAAAAAAAAAATTCAAAAAATTATTAAAATGAGGGTTATTGTGATATATTTGTGTAAGTCCGTGATCAATGTGTAATATTAAGTAAGTTAGAGTATAATGGATGAATTTTAATAAAAAATATATTAGGGAGAGTATTTTCGTAGCCGATTGATAGTTAAAAATGAACTTAAAAAATGCATAATCCAGATAATCAATTAAAATAGACTACCAAATACATTTCAGTGTACTACATAATACATTAAAATCGACTGCTGTAAACAAACAAAACAACTATCAATCAGTTTCAACTTCATCAACTTCATCAAACCAAATATTTATTTCGATTACTGTGCAAACCAACTACGATACTCATATAAAACAACTCTGGTCAGAATACGTGAACCCTCCTCTTGCGACTACGTGAATCCTCCTCCAAGACAAACATCATCAGTCAATAACGATGTATATATCACGACGTAATTTTTTTTAAAAACGATCTACATTAATACCAATACAAGATGACTACCACGTTGCAGTTAAACAAAATACATTTCAATGTACCACATAAGACATTAAAATCGACTGCTGTAAACAAACAAAACAACTATCAATCAGTTTCAACTTCATCAACTTCATCAAACTAAATATTTATTTCGATTACTGCGTAAACCAACTACGATACTCATATAAAACAACTCTGGTCAGAATACGTGAACCCTCCTCTTGCGACTACGTGAATCCTCCTCCAAGACAAACATCATCAGTCAATAACGATGTATATATCACGACGTAATTTTTTTTAAAAACGATCTACATTAATACCAATACAAGATGACTACCACGTTGCAGTTAAACAAAAAAATTGACATGGGTTACCACGTCTGGTGGATGTCTTGCCCATCGATCGTTGCAAAACCACAGATTTGGGGCTCGATATCTGCAGGCGATTTAGAAAATATCTGCAAATAAACCAAAGTCACAGTCGATTAAGCAAAAACACATCAACATATCGATGGGTGACGGCGTTTCAACAAGCGGCGAAGATGTACCAGTGCCAGAGTGGTCGGAGTGCAGAAAGGCGTCGATCCCCCGTATAGCGTGCTCTCTTCCCGGCGTATAATTTTTCTGGTTTTTTGGAATTTTGTAGAATTTGGAAGTGGGTTTAGTGGGGATAATGTTTTAACGGGAAAATATGGAGGGATTTGATATCTTTCAAAAGGTAAAGTAACGGGATTTGTGGGATTTTGATTGAGGGTACTGATGGAATTTAGAAAAATATGAGTTTTTATCAAAATGACAAATTTGAGTTTGGATCTACCCCTATTATTTGTAAGACTAAGGGGATTATATCTAATGAACCCATTTTTAAATGTCATATGTCAAATAGTGATAGGTTGGTGGCGTGGTTATATTTTTGATGACTCATTTTCCCGGGAATATTTTTGCACCTCGGTGGTTGAGTATCAAAATAATAATTCCCACTTTAATAATTCCCACTTTAATGCCTCTACTGGTTATATATATATATATATATATATATATATATATATATATATATATATATATATATATATATATATATATATATATATATATATATATATATACACACACTAGGGGAGCCGCACTGCGCTATGCGCAGTACGTAATGCCCCATAGACATGGATAATAAATTATCATATTCATATGTTTATTTTAATTAATTCCTAAAAGATATTACAATAGAATAAACTATTTTATAACATTGTATGTTACAAGAAATCCTTCATACATTATCATATTCCAAGCGAGTGCATAATTGGAGTTATATTTCATACAGAGATACATAATTCAAAATGGTTCAAACTGTACGATACAAATTATGTGGCAAAGCGAAGAGAAATGCATGTCTCAAAAGTGGCTTCTCCAACTGTTGTAATTATAAATCCAAGTTAGATAATTTGGCTAATAGATGTACCGCAATCATCTTCAACTGGCATCATCGGCTCATGAGCTTTATCTATGAAAAAAGATGTAACAAAATTTAGCCATAAAAGTTTAATCGAAATTGAGAGAACAAAAAAAGAATTGCAATGTAAGACCATTAGTTTACCTTCACCAATAACCTTCCTAGAACCTACGGTTTTCTCGGGAGTCCCATAATCATTGCGAAAATCCTTGGTTGTAGAAGAATTTACCTGAAGAGGCTCTTTGTTCAATTGTTTTCTCATGTCTCTCGGTCCACCTATAAATGAGGAAGGCAACAATTTTTTTTTTCCAAGGTTTGCAAAGTCATTTTCTCCATAGATGCCCAAGGAATCAACTATTATTCCTTGAAGTGATTTAGTTCTAAGTTCTTTTTGAAGTTGTTCACCATCCAAACGAGATCCCTCCAACGTAACGTGCGAATCAATTGCTGCAAGATATCTACTGCGAGCTACTTGATTGCTGATTTCTCTTTGCTTTGAAGAACTCATAACTCTACATATATCTCAAAAAAAATATTTGAGTTACCTATTTCCGAGTTGCACAAAGGATAAAACAAAAATGACAACATTCGTGAATGATTTAGACATAATATCGTTTCATGGAATATAAACACATTTAACTATTATAGGATAAGGTACATTAAAAAAAAAAATAGAACACATACAGTAGATATTGAATTCTCGAAATAAAAGAAACATATCTAGGCCAGTCTTTTTCCACGATTGCGATGATACAATCATACAAATAAGAAAAAATAATATGCACAAACCTTCCAAAGTTTTGGCGAAGAGATCGACGATGCTGCTTCAAATAATCTATAAAAAAAAAAAAACATTAATAAATTAAGAACACATCCCCCTTAAGTGTAAACTTTACATGTTATGCACAAATCATGTTTGCAGCATAGATCTAGCTAGGCAAGAGCTCTATAATTATTACATTATGCACAAATATACATTCCAAAAAACAGATATTTCTGCTTTCTGAATAGTCTTACAAACCTCACCAGATATGTCTCCCTTCAAAACCTGAATTAAACACACAAACAAGATCAAAGAGATACAAGATCTCTGTCCAAGTTGAGCAAAAACATGTTGAAATGAGCTTATTCGTTGCCTATTCATGATTAAGGTTTCTATCATTAGAAATACTATTATGAACAAAAAACGAAACACCACCATGCACATCAATAAAACATTTACTAATGGAGACTTATGGTATAAAGCAAGAACCTGAAGAAGAATGTGCTTTGTAGGTCTAATTTAAATAAAGTCAGGAAGCATGGAGTTTACATCATCAGTGTAATTACCTACAGAAACAGAACAATTTATTAAGAAAAAAATTGGGAATAAGAAATTAAAATAATACTAACTACAAAAAAAAAAAAAAAGGCCAATCATAAAACCATTAAAATCTTTAAACATAGTAGGTTAAGAATACCCAAAATGGCAAAATCAAGAAGTAACAAGTACGAAGTAAATGACTTGGGCTTTCTTGTCAGGTTAAAAAACTTCATCTTCATTTTCTAAAAAACACACGGACAAGTAAAAGTTGATCTAAACTTAAAGAATCAAATCTAACTTCAATCTTTCCCATAAGCCCAATGCTTACTTGGAAGAAACGAAGTAACATTTTTTGAAAAACAATATGTTATTTTTTGAAAAACAATGCGTAATGGGTTCAAGAAACAATATAAATAAGAAATCCCAAATCTACAGGAGCTTCTATACTAAGCATAAAAATAACAGAAATATGACTAACCTTGAGAAATGAACCCACCGGAAAAAACCCTGCAACGGAAAAATATACTGGACATGAGTTTGAAAACCATTGGAACAAAATAGCAAGAAAACTCAAAAATATCCAAGAAAACCCAAAAGCATGGGATTTATAAGTCGTTTACCTTGAGATGACATGAGCGTTGGCGAAATGGAGTGGGAAGATACCTGCAAAAAAATAAGCAGAAAACTATCAAACAAAGAATGAAAGAAAGAATGAATTTATCAAAAAAAAAAAAAAGAATGAAAGAATGAAGAAAGAGAATGGGAAATCTGTAGATTGAAATGTGTGGATAAAAAAATGGAAATGATGAATCTACTAACTCCATTAGTAGAGTAGGACTGAGTAGGAAGCTACATATGTCAAATTGATTGAAAGCTAAAATTGATTGACATACATCCGTCAAAATAATTTGTGGAAAAATAGAAATGGTAAAGGAAAAAAGAAATAGGCCCACACATTTTGGTTCGGTCAGACGAAAAATTAAGGCATTAAGGGCATCTGTAGTGCCACTCCCAATTTACTATTTTTGTCAGAATTTTGAAATATTGGGAGTGTTTGATAATTTTATCATCTCTAGCAATGTTTTGAAAACCGGACCGGACATCGAACCGGACAACCAACTGGGTCACGGTTGGACCGGTTCAACCTCGGTTCAACCGGGTTTTTGTATTTTTTTTTTATTTTTTTATTATTATATAATTAAAAATAATTCAAGTTAAATAAATATATATTCAAAGAATGTACTCATATATTAAATATAAATTTAAATACTTTAATTCGATTCATTAATCAATAATAATAACTTAGAATAAAATTAAAATTTTACATTTAGAAATTAACAATATCAAAATAACTTTAGTAGACATAAATTTTAGACAAATAAAAGACATTCACAAATTCCCAGCCAAAAATAAATAACTAAATTTCATTTACTATGCAATAGTAATACACATCTTTTTTTTTTTTACTAAAAAAAAAAACTTGTATATAAACTAGTGAACAGTAGACACACCCAAACCCTAATATATATGTTACAGCCGCCTCACTCACCTCTCTCCACTCTGCTTTCTTGTTTGTTCATCATCATCAATTAAAAAATATTCCTCTGATTTATTTTTTACTATTCTCCTTCTTTAAACCTCCACCATGATGTACGTAGCCACGCTGTCAGTCTCCCTCGCAAACTCCTCCAAGAAAATTCAGCGTAGTAGCACGACTTTTTATATATTTTTTATTTTTCTGCAAAACCGGTTTTTTGACCGGTTTTGGCCGGTTCTTAGCGGTTGAACCACGGATTTTCCGGTTTGTAAGCAAGTGACCCGGGTTTTTGCCATTTTCGGGTTTGGGTGTTGGACCGGACCGGAGTTGTCCCCGGTTCCCGGTTAAACCGGTCGGACCGGCCGGTCCGGTCCGGTTTTGAAAACATTGATCTCTAGTGCTTTTCTCTAGCCTCCCTAAAAGTGCCATGTGGCATGGGACTCCCAATTGAAGTGCCCACAGTTAATCCATGGTTGGGGAGTGTATGTGGAGCCCTTTTAATTATTTTAATGTATTTTTGAAATGCGTGTCACACTAATCTGACTTTGATTATTTATTTTTTCTTTTTCTTTTTTTCCTTGATGAGAAGTAATAATTCTAATAATTATTTTATAATTTTTAGAAATTACAAATTTTAATTTGATTGATTTTAATATTAATAGTAAAATAAATTTTATATTTAAATTCATTAATATGATAAAAAAAACTTATATTTTAATTTTAATAATTTAATTTCACTATAATAATACAAGAAATATTTATTTTACAATTATGTATTTTGTTAATTTTAATAATTCAATTTCATTTATGTATTTTTGTTAATTTTATTTTATTTATGTTTTTTGAATGCTTTGTATTATTTTATGGATATAAATATGGATACAAACAAGATAATTTAATACATATTACAACGTAATAAAAATGGTGACTAATATTTATTTAATGTATTCTAATATGAAATTAATTCAATTAAATACAAAGAATCAAATTTTAATTACATTATTATATTTACTTCCTTAATATTTTATTATTATTTAAGATATTTGGACAAATTTTTAGGGAGTTTTAAATGTACACTAGAGAAACTTTTTTCTAGGGAGTGTTAAATGTGGGTCCTACATTTTAGGGAGATGGTAAATTGAGTAGGTGGCATGTGGACCCCACTGTTTGGGGAGTGTTTTATTGGGGTTTCACTACAGATGCCCTAAATGACATGAATGTAAATGAAATTGAGTTTGCAATTGAAAAAGCAGAAGCCAACTCCAAACGGTGCCGTTTTAATGCAAAACTGAATAAAAGAAAATGGAAAATATATTGATCATGCACTGTACACATTAGCCTACATATCATTCAGATACAAATAATTAGGGCAACTAATGAAAGTGCATGGCAATAACTTATATAATTAAAACTATAAATTAAAAAGTAAGGAAATTTCGAAAAACATTGCATAAATGTTTTACTTTTCCTATTTGTAAAGTTTTTAAAATATGTGTAAAATAATAAATATTAAAATAACAAAGTTAATTAAAATATAAAACAAATTAAGAAGATTATTTCAGCACATAAACTTTGAAATTACTATTTTTTTTAGAAAGAATTAGTTTTTCTTTTTAGGAGAGAGTACTTTGAAATTACTTATTTAATTGAAGTAATATAGCACCATAATGTATTCATTATTATAAGTTATGATTTTTGTTTTCTTATATAAATCATATTAATAAGTAAGCAAATAAAAAAAAAGGAAAAATAACTACGCTCATTCAAATATTAGAGACAACATTTTTTTTTCTTTTAAATTTAAACTTTAAGATTAAATTAAATTAAGGTCATTACTTAATAATTTTAAGTTAATTAAATGAATCACGTTTTTACTAAAATGCAGTAGATTGCAATTAACAACTACTGTATATTATTATTATTATTTTTTTTTTGGAAAATAACTATTATATATGAATTCTTGTAAGCTTAAATTTTTAAAGAATAAAAAACAATGATAGGGCAGGCAGACAGCATTGAGACCACGAGGGCATTAAATGCATGCAGGCCCCCCAGATTTTTTTTTAACCAAAATTTAGTTTTTCAGCAAAACGAAAAAGAAAAGGAAAATAGTGGGGGCGGGCCCACATATTTGGTTCGATCGAAAAAAAGTTGATTAAATGAAAATGAAAAAGAAATTCACTTTGTGCTTGGAAAGGTAGATGTAAAGAGAAAACGACACCGTTTTGAGGGCAAAACTGTGTAAAGAAAATGAAAAATAAATTGAGAAGCACTATTCATATTTTCTTGCACGTTTATAAGATATAAAATATCTGAAATGCTAATTGTAGCGGGACTTTTACTGAAATTGGCTTATTTGCAGCGGTAGCTTTTCATTTCAACTTTTCAAACTTTTTGGAAAACTGAAAACGCTCTCAACTAAAAAAAGTCGAGAATTAAGATTTTCGTGTTTATTCGATAAATCGACTGCCCGACGACAACATATAACACTATGGCCGATTCTGACGAGTTTTACGAGGTAAATCGAAGATAGTAGCGGTTTTTTTTTTGTTTTTCGTCGGGTTACCGTGCTGTGTAGCACGAGAATCCCAAAAATTAGGGATTCCCGTGCTGTACAGCACGGGAGAATCAAAAAAAAAAAAAAAAAAAAAACAAACTAGAGCTCCCCGTCTTGGGGAGCACGGGAATATCGTGCTCCCGTGCCTTAGAGAACGGGGGTTTGAGTCTCCCGTGTCCTGGCGGACGGGAGTAGGGCACCACCGTGCCCTCCGGCACGGGAGCATTGCACCACCGTGCCCGCCGGGACGGGAACCCGTAACAATTTTTTTTTTTTTTTTTTTTTAATATTGTTATTTATATACTAATTATTACTTCTTATATCTTAATAGGGTACTGAAGGTGATTTTGACGATGAGTTTACAACTAATCGTGACAAAGCGTACAACGAGTACGAGGATCCCGACATGTGTTACGATGTTCCTCAAGACACACAAACAACTTCTGAGGATCACAGTCAACATTTCAATGTAGATCTTGAGTTTGAAACTGGGAAAGAATTAGTGGAATGGGCAAAAAAAATGGCTGCTACTCATGGTCATCGATTGATAGTAACTTCAAGCAAGAAAAACGTGTATGTAGTAATTAGATGTCATTTGTCTGGGGAGGGACGTGAGAAACGAACCGTAGGTGCGATACCACGGAATGTGGGAACAAAAAAATGTGGATGTCCTTTTCGTATATACTGTAGCAAAAATTCAAACGATGGACTATGGCGAATGAATTTAAAAAGTGGCACTCACACTCACCCGACAATACCGTATCCTACCGGACAAGGACCGGATAGTCGTTTGACACCAGAAGAATACGAGGTAGTGAAATTACTTAGAAGGAGCCACGTGAAGCCGGCATTAATTATGGATCGATTGAGAAAGGATAATCCACAGACATCAACGAGTGTGAAACATGTCTACAACCAACTTGAGAAGATGAAAAAAGAGAATATGGCGGGGAAGACTGTGATACAACACGTGATGTCGAACCTTCAAGAATCTGGATATGAATATTGGTATCGAAGTAATGAAGGTGATGATACACTTACTGATTTGATGTTCGCTGCTCCTATTTCGTTGAAACTTTTGCGGTTATTCTCTCACGTCATATTGATGGACTGCACTTACAAAACCAATAGGTATGTTGTTAATTAGTATTTATTATTGTGCTATTTTACATTGCTTGATTGCATTTGATATTTATGTATTTACGTAGGTATGAGATGCCACGTTTGGAAATAATTGGAATCACTCCTGTTGGTATGAACTTTACAATTGCTGTTGCTTTCATGTCACATGAAGATGCAAACACATACGAATGGGCTTTGCGTTGTTTGAAATGTGCATTGGGGGGGCTGGTACCTAATGTGATATTGACGGATCGTGAATTGGGACTTATCAAAGCAATGCCCGTAATATTTCCAGATTCCGCTCATTTCTTGTGTTTGTTTCACATCAATAGAAACGTGGAAAAAAATGCATCGAGATTTATTGGTAGTACTAAACACGGGCTTATATTTCGGCGCATACATTGGGCAAAATTAGTGGAATCAAAAACAGAAGAAGAATACAATGATAATTACGAGGAAATGGTTAGACGCTATGGTTGTTACCCCAAATTGATATCATACCTTAACGATACTTGGCTAATTTACAAGCACAAATTCGTCAAAGCATGGACTAATAAGATTTTGCATTTTGGGAACACGTCGACATCGAGGTATGTTGGGTTTCATTATCGTCTTGTATTTTATATTATATTGTGGGCGCTTTTATTTATTAATTGTTATTTTAATGGCTATTAACAGGGTGGAAAGTGCTCATAAATCGTCGAAGGGTTGGATTAATGCTTCTACCGGTGGTGTGAACACCATTCAATATCAGCTCGACTCCGGGGTTGAGTATCAACTAACCAAGATCAAGGGTGAGTTTTCAAAATGCAGTTTGATCCGGCTGCACTCATCATCGTATCCGGTATTTCAGGGTTTGATATGCAAAGTCACACATAAAGCATTAAATTTGCTTGATGATGAGCTAAAAAAACCGGGGTTTCAAGACCCATCTCTTTGTGATCACGTTTTGTGGGATAGTCATGCACTTCCTTGTGCATGCCGAATTGCGTTGAAAATCCAGCAACGTGAGACATTTATATCTATGGATCTACATCCATTTTGGAGTACCATGCACGTTGAAGAACCAGAAATACCCGAAGCACAGATGGATCGTGAAACAAATATGAGAGACCGAATAATCAGACTAGCCACGGAAGTGTTAGAAAAAGATTATATGACTCAAAAGATGACTGCTGATTACATGAATAGCACTATTCATCCAGACACCATCCACTTGGCAGAGCCTGCATATGTTATACCGAAAGGAAGGCCAAAGGATAAACCGACGAAGAGAGATAAATCCGGTTGGGAGTTCCCACCATTCCAGCGGAAGCCGTCTACTGGTGAAGAAAAGGGTAAATCGTCTGCAGGTTCTAAGGGTCGAAAAAATACTTCTACCGGAACCCCACCATCGAATGTAACCGATCCCGGTTCTGGTCGTGGACGGGGGCGGGGTCGAGGGAGTGGTAGATCAAGTGATGAATCCACTGCCAATCAGAATCGTACGCCAATGCCTCGAAAGGAACCGGGCGATGAGCTCAATTTCAGATCTTACATCCCAGGTTTTGTGGCAGGATCTATTGTGTCGTATGTTAATGTTGTAGCAGATGGAAATTGTGGGTACAGATGTGTTGCAGAAGCAGTGTTCCGAGATCAGAACAGATGGAGTCGTGTAAGGAGAGATTTGATTGCCGATATGTACGAGCATTTTGGTACGTACGCATCGCAAAATGGTCAAGATGAAGTCATCCGATGGATAGAAATATGCGATTGGCAAGAAGGACCGTGCAGTCGGGACAAATGGATGTCATTTCCGGATATGGGAATGTCGATAGCGACTAAATACAATGCGGCTCTGGTTTTATACGCCATTGGCGGAAATATAACCTACTTACCTCTAGTTGGTACGGGTGAATTATCCCATATGATCCATATGGTGTTGTTAGGAGACCATTTTGTCCTTATCCAGTTACCGGTTAATTGTCCTCTACCACCTATCACTCCACAGTGGCGACATGTTAGAGCCGCAAATCTTGCCCACAGTGGCGACATGTGGCGTCGTTTATCTAGGTTGGGATAGGCATTTTATTTTAGTTGGTATGTATTTTGGACCTTGTATTATTTTATTTTAGTTGGTATGTATTTTGGACCTTGTATTATTTTATTTTAGTTGGTATGTATTTGGACCTTGTATTATTTTATTTTAGTTGGTATGTATTTGGACCTTGTATTATTTTATTTTAGTTTGTATGTTTGGACCTTGTATTATTTTAGATGGAAATACCATAAATAAAATAGTCAAACAAAAATAACATAAATGTCAAACAAATACAAAACATAGCCAAATGTCAGAAAAAACAAATAAATGTCAAACAAATACAAAACATACCCAAATGTCAGAAAAAACAACTAAATGTCAAACAAAAGCCGTCTACTGTCTACCCCTAGACCTCCTCGAAGTGCCACTCGTCCCACCCGGTCGCCGACGCGGTGGTGGCATCTCCATAAAGTCGTCGTCGTCGGAATCTCCAGTGGGGGATAAACCTAGAAAACGTGCATGTGGCTCCACACGAGGCTGTAACTGGACACGTAGATGCTGGGGTATCTCGTGCATGTGCGGATGGATGATACGCACAATGTCATAAAAGTCCGGCTGAATAGGAGGGGGGCGTACGACTGGCGGTGGTCCTTCTGGCGCTGGATCCCGGTTGATCACGTACTGATGAGTACGAGGAACGTACCACTCCATGTACCGAGTGACAGTCTCAGACGGCGGCCAGGCTAATGTCCTACCGTCCATCGTAATCGAGCTGGTAGCCAGGTCCATCCACTCCTGCACTGGAGGATCATACCGTACCTGGTACGTCTGTCCTCCAAGCGGACCACGTAGGCACGGCTCTCTGGACTGGATGTAGCACTGCGGAACGGTCTGTCTGAAGCCAAACTGCCGAAGGACGCGATCCGGTAAATATGGCTCGACAATCTCCATAAACTGTATGCACCCATAATATAATGTACGCGGAACGCGTCTATGTACGTGCGACCCGTAAGGCATCCAGTCAATCTGGAAAATTATATTAACGTAATAAAAATTACATTTACATAATAATTAATAATAAATAAATTCAACAATTAAAATACATACCTGATCGGCCTGCATATCATCAAGCATCCTTCGGACCGAGAGCAAGTCCGAAATACCCTTGCGTGGTTTCCATTTCAGGAAACGAGGCTGCATCTCCCTATAATCCGAATTAATAGGTGCTCGGAAAGGGCGAAAGTACTCGTAAATCCAGCACTACAAATAAACGAGACTATATTAGATTAATATTATCTTAAATCACAATATATTATATTAAATTAATACTACCTACGTTATACTAATTATAATAATATATTATATTAAAATTTAACTTAAATACCTGGAGCAGTAACGTGCAACCCGCTAACCCCTTCACGTGGGCCCTACTAGCCAAGCCCAACTGTCGGTATAAATGAGCCAATACAGCTGCACCCCAAGCATACTCGCCGACGTGCTCGAGATCGGAAGAATATCTCATCCACGTTGGCTTGAACCTGTCTACACTCCGGTCGGGGAACAAAGCCATACCGATCAAAAACGTCAAATATCCTACCACCTTCTGCCGACAAGTTCGGGACCGACTACGCACACGCTCCACAAACTCCGACCATTTTATCCCACTATTGCCGAGCTTGGCATGCGCCTCGACCATGTCCAAATCAAGAACCTCAGCTAGCAACAACTCACTCATAGGCCTCTCCTCAACAGAATCACCGTGCACCGCTAAACCGTCAACACGCAACCCCAAAATCAAATGGACATCATGTAGGGTGATCGTCATCTCACCCCAAGGCATGTGGAAACTGTTCGTTTCCGGCTGCCACCTCTCTATAAATGCCCCCATGAGTCCCTTGTCTACATTTTTAATGTAGAAGTACTCGAGTGAGTCTAGGCCAGATGCCTCCAGTAGCTCTAACTCATCCTGCCTGTAAGGAGCCATGAGTTGCTTCAACTCATGTTTCCTAAAAGCATTAAGCGCAGTAATCCTTGACTCGCATCGCCCCACGCTGCGCTCCTGTAGAATTTCTAATTTAATCAGACAAAATATATTAAAATAAATATATTTAAAATATATAAAAATAAATATATTTAAACTTACATGTCCTGCCCAAATGTAGTAGGCAATATGACTCTTAAAACTAGGAATCATCCTCCAATCAGTCGGTCCTCCTGGAGCCGGACCATGTAACTCAAGTGGGCCACTGAAAGTGTCAAACTCGTACCGAGACTTCCGTGCGCGCGCGGCCGGGACGGGAACATCATCATAATCGCTCTCAACATGGTCATGCTCCTCCTCGTGTCCCTCGTAGGGGATACCAGAATCTGCCCCTACAGATCGAATGCTACCCGCCATAGATCTAGAACTCTGATCTATGTGGGGAATCTCGTCCACGACCGGTAAACCAGTGTCGCGCTCCATAACTCTCCTACGACGATGAGATGCAGTCATACGAATGCGCTCCGCTTCCGCCTCGGCTTCAGTCGCGCCTTGCCCGCCATACCGAAATTTAATCTTCGGAAATTTATCCGAACTCGAAGAAGAACCCATAAGCCCTTTCCCCTTGTCCTGACGTGCCATCTGTAAAAGATTAAAAAACAAATTAAATAAAATAATTAAAAAAAAAAAAAAAAAAAAATAGTTTGAATTTCCCGTTCTGTGCAGCACGCGGGAACAAAGAAGAATCTTCGAGGTTCCGCGTGTTCTGCAGAACGGGAAATTCAAAAAATTTCAAGCGCCCGTTCTCCAGAACACGGGAAACACAAAAATAATTTTTTTTTTTTTTCGAAAAATTTAAATTTCTAAAATAATTTGAACTCCCGTTTTGTGGAGAACGGGCACTTGAAAAAACCGATTTTTTTGCGTAAGGAGAAAATCAAAATTTTGAATTTCCCGTGCTCCGCAGAACGGGGGCAACAAGAACTCTTGAATCCCCCGTTCTGCAGAGCACGGGAACTTCACGTTCTTGAGTTCTCCGTGCTGCAGAAAACGGGTGCTTCAATTTTTTTTTTTTTTTTTTCCGAAATTTGCTAGATCTATTCTTAAACACGTGTTTTTACCTAAATTGGAATTGAAACTAATTAAAAGTAGTAGGAAATCGAAAACTTACCGGAATCGAGCCTCGTTTGTACGGTTTGAATGTCGAAAAAAATTTACGAAATTCAAATTTCTAGAGAGTGTTTGGGAGTAGGAGAGAGAATTTGCAAGTTGGAAAAATTAAAATGAAAAAGCTACCGCTGCAAATAAGCCAATTTCAGTAAAAGTACCGCTGCAAATAGTAACACCCATAAAATATATATATTTTTAATTTAAATATCCAAACCCTAAGGTGAACCTAAATACCACGTCCGCCGCACATTCTCCCTCAAAGTCTCAACGGCTGCCTCTTAAATCTGCTCCGAGATCCACTTCTCTAATTTATAAGAATTCACATTATCGTGGCTCCAATCACTCACATTCTCCCTCCTCCGCCTCACTCCTACAGCCTTCCGCCGCCGCATGTATGTGACTAATTTTGTGCATCGGTCGGGATTCTGTGGTTGCCGGCTGCGGCTGTGTGTCTGTGTGATTTGCAACGGGTTTCTGAGGTTTTATTATTTTTTCCTTTTTATTTATTTATTTCTACACGATCTCCGCCGAAATTGTTTTCTACGTTTGTGGTTTGATGCCACGTCGCCGGCAGCAACTTACTTGCAGTGGCCGGTGGTGTTCAGATTGAACCTAAATTAATTTCATGTTTCGCATATTGATAGGAACCTGTGATGATTTATATACATTCATACACGGAGCCGTTTTTTGCGATTAAATTTAAAAAAAAAAAAATTATTTTTCTTTGTAAGATCTTTTGGCCAATGACGATTATTTTATTATAAATATGGAATTACCGTCTGAACAAATCATTGATGTGATCAATTATCTGAGGCCTCTTTGTTAATAGTGATTGATCCAAAACTAAAGTGATTATTGTTGAATTGTATTACGATATAAGAATGTCTGGCTTTTATTTACGATGTTAATATTTCAGTAAAAATGGCGGATCATGTCAGAGAGCCGATACGATCAGCATCCGAAAAAATTACAACAGAATTTCAAACCCTAGTAGATTCTCAGGATTTGGATTCTATCAAGCAATCACAGAACCTCATGTACTTATCTATACATCACTTGTATGTAAATTTTTTTTTTGTGCAATTGTGTAATTATTGCCTGTAGTTATAATCCTAAAATTGCAGATTGGGAAGATTGCAGGATAGTAGTGCAGTACTATCCCACTTTAATGATTATTCAGAGAATTGCTTTGCGGATGTGTCTGCGGATTTTTCGAAAAATACACGCCTCTTGCGAACCATGAAATCTGACCTTGATTACATCTTTCAAAAGCTCAGGTATGCAAATTTCTCCATTTTGTTTTTTTCATTATTATTATTAAGATATGAAAATTGTTTTTTTTTTATGATTAATTGTTGTAAATTGTTACGTTCTTATAAATGTATTAATTATTCTATTGATTTATCCCAACTCTAGTTATTTTAAATTCTTAGAAATGTATTAATTATTCTATTGATTTATCCTAACTCTAGTTATTTTAAGTTCTTATAAATGTATTAATTATTCTATTGATTTATCCCAACTCTAGTTGTTTTAGGTTGTGTTTGACTATGAACATTCATAATTCCCAGAATTTGCATATGATGCAAACAATTTGGTTCAATTTGATTACTATAGAATGTTTTTGGGTAAATTTCGTTTCCCCTTTGTACTTTGACTTGATATCACTTTACCCTCTTCTACTCCCAGCTTGTACTTTGGCTAGATATCACTTTATGCCCTTCTACTCTCAATTGCATCGATTTGCCCTTATACTTTGGCACGATATCACTTTACCTTATTTTATTCTCAATTACATTGAATTGCCGCATGTACTAAAAAAATTGTCTTAATGTGGTCCTCTCCGTAAGCTTTCGAACCTTTGACCTTAATACCGTTTGATCTAAGTCCAAAAATCATTAAAAAATCACCTCTCACTGTTAATATAATTATTAAGAAAATAATAAAAATAAAAAAACAAAAAATAAATAATAAAAAATTGAAGATAAAGAGAAAAATAGTCCACGAAATCAACCACATATTGTTTTTTTATTATTTTAATTTTGTAATAACTATTTCAACTTGGAGGGGTGGCTTTTTTTAATTTTCAAACTTATATGAAATAGTGTTAAGGTCAGATGTGTGAAAAATAACGACAATGCCCCATTGGAGACAATTTTTCAAGTACAGGGGGCGAATCGATGCAATTGAGAGTTGAAATGGGTAAAGTGACATCGAGTCAAAGTACAAGGGTGCAAATCAATGTATTTGAGAGTAGAAGAGGGTAAAGTGATATCGAGACAAAGTACAAGGGGCAAACCAATGCAATTGAAAGTAGAAGGTGATAAAGTGATTTCGAGCCAAAGTATAAGGGGTAATGTAAAATTTACCCCCAATGTTTTTTCTAAACATAATTTTGCTGGATCTTATGGGATATCTGAAAACATACTCACAATTTTTTTTCTTCTAAATATCTTTAAGTAATTCCTTAATGTTAGTGTTGTATAAATTTATAATTTTATACTCGGTTAATGCAAGATTATGTCGAACTTGAATTTATAATTTTCTTCACCGATAGGATACAAATGATTATATATATTTACTCTTCATCAACATTCATATTGTTGTGGATGGCTGATGGAGATAGAGCTAGTCTAAAAATTAATTAACTTTTTGTCAATCTATATACTTTTCCTCCACTTTGTTAAGGAAAAAAGATTGTTTAATCCACTTAACCTTACTTTTGTTGTGCAAGAAACTTTTGCTTTCGGTTCAAGTTTTATTACACTTATATATTATTACAGTTGACGTTTAAGCATACTTATTTACGTATTTTGGATCGTTCGTGTGTCATTAAGATTTTGTTTTTAATATGTAGGAGCATGAAGGGAAAGATTCTGGCGACCTATCCCGATGCTTTTCCTGACAATTCGACAATTGAGGCACTTGATCAAAGACCAGACCTCGAGTTGGCCAAGTGATTGTATATGTTTAACTTTCGTGTATTATAATATGGCTCTATGTTTCGAGTTTGTCAAACTATTTTTATTACTTTATGATGCAAGCAATTATCTTGTTTTGAATGTGTAGAATATAAATGTGGGGATTTGGTAGTTGTAAGTTTGACCATTGAAATGGTTGTGATTGAATCAAGATTTGAACATTGTATATCGAAACCAGAGTTACAGTATTGTTTCAACTGTATAGGATGTGATTTGGTTGTGAATTGTGATAAGGTATGTGAGGTATGTGGTAATCGACATAGGTGATGGAGCCAATCAAACTCCTTCGTTTGTTGAAGAGTACATTCGGTGCCAGTATTTGGCCAGCGAAGACGATCTAATAGACAGGAAAAAAAGATAAAAATATGGGAAATTAATATGATGTTAAATTTGTGTCGGAACCTTACATTTATTTATATAGGAAAATCTCCAATAGCATTTCTTATTTTATTAGTTTTATGTCCGTACAATATTTATATTGATTTCACGATTACTGCCCTAATTCATGTACTTTCCTTGTTTACTTGCAGAAAAGATCTTGGGATATGTCTCATTGGTCAGCTAGTGTTTTGCCTTTATTTTGTAAGTTGGAGCGAATATTTTCAGCTAGTGTTTTGCCTTTATTTTGTAAGTTGGAGCGAATATTTTTGTTGTGCATAGGGTCTACTGCTTGATGTTCGGATTGTAACCCCACGTAACCGAATCCATGTGAAACAGAATTAATATATATGTGTGTGAAATTCATCATACACTCTTATTACATATATTATGTTGCCAAATGAATTAAATATTATTGTTTTTACATTATTATATTAAAATACATTTAAAATAACGATTGATTTGTTTTGCACAAGCCATGTCATTCGGACTAGATTAAAACTTCACGTATTGGTGCTTATCAGCCCAAACCTAAAAAACAGTCCAATAAAATATTACTGATAAAATTTCAATAGATTAGTAGCCCAAATTGTGGTCCAGTTTTCTCTACAAAAACTCAGATTACCAGTAGTCGAAAGAACTCGTAAAAATGGCGGATCAGGTGAGAGAGCCGATATGATCAGCATCTGAAGAAATTATGACAGAACTTCAAACTCTAATATATTCTCAGGATTCGGATTCTATCAAGCAATCACAGAACCTCATGTACGTATCTATACATCAATCGTATGTAAAAAATAAATAAATTGTGTAGTTGCTTCTATTAGCGCCTGTAGTTATTATCATAAAATTGCAGATTGAGAAGATTGCAGGAGAGTAATACAGTATTACCCCACTTCAATGATTACTCAAAGAATTGCTCCGCCGATGTGCCTGCGGATTTTTCGAAAAATACACGCCTCTTGCGAACCATGAAATCTAACCTTGATTACTTTTTTCAAAAGCTCAGGTATGCAAATTTCTTTCTTTTGCCCTTTTCATTATTATTATTATTAAGATATGAAAATTATTGTTTTTCTTTTTATGTTTAATTGTTGTAAATTGTTATGTTCATATAAATATATTAATTATTGTATTGATCTCTGTCAAGGCTAGTTATTTTAGGTGATGTATGACTCTGAACATTCATAATTCCAGAATTTGCATATGATGCAATCAATTTGGTTCAATTTGATTACTATAGAATGTTTTTCAAGATAATTATGCTGGATCTCGTGGAGTATCTGAAAACATACTCACAATTATTTTTTCTAAAGTTCTTTAAGGAATTCCTTAATGTTCGTCTTGTATAATTTATAATTTAATACTCAATTAGTTCAAGATTATGTCGAACTTAAATTTCAAGTATCATCGAACATAACTTACTTGTGCAAAATATGTTAATGAGTTTAAAATATTCACTAATAGGATACAAATAGTTATATATATTTACTCTTCAGCAACATTCATATTGTTGTGGCTGGCTGTTGGAGATGGAGCTAGTCTGAAAATTAATTAACTTTTTGTCAACCTATATACTTTTCCTCCTCTTCATTAAGAAGGAATAAAGATTGTTTAATCCACTCACCTTTACTTTTGTTGTGCAAGAAACTTTTGCTTCCGATTCAAGTTTTCTTACACTTATATATTATTACAGTTGAGGTTTAAGCATACAGATTTACAAATTTCAGATCGTTAGTATGTGTATAGTGTGGCCTAAATATATTCTTTGTGAATGGCCCATTCGTCAATCCATATTGCAACCCACTTAAGGGCAACCCACACAATTTGAGCCCAAAGTTAAAGTCAGCCCAATCTCACTTTGGTTTTTCCCTTTTCTCTATCTCTCTTCACTGTTTTCTATCTCTCGTTGTTTTTGGCAGATGATTTCATTCGGCTCCTTTTTCTCTCAACAAATTTGTCTTCTTATCCTCAACAAATCTTGGTGATTTGTTGCCTGATTTTTCGTGAGTTTGGTGGATGATTTGGGCATATAAGTGGTATCAGAGCTTTGTTAAGGGTCCGTTCGAAGCGGCGTACGAAACCCTGGTCCAGGGGTTTCGCCCAGGTATACAATTCTACTTTTGGTGAGTTGATTTATTCTTTGTGATAATTATACCTGTTATTGGTGAATCTTTCATTTATTGTTTCCGCTAATATTTTATGTGAATCTGTGTGATTCTTTATCTTTGTGATATTTAAAACTTGGAATCTTTGTAATTCGATTTTTAGTGGTGAATCTTTATGATTGTACTATCTTTGTGATTTTTTTTTAAATTTGTGAAATCTTTGTGATTCAATTTTGCTAAAGAATATTGAATCTTTGTGATTCTTGTGTGTGTTGATCCTCTGTGTGTTGATCCTGCTAATATTTGATAATCTTTGTGATTTGCTATCTTTGTGATATTTGGAATATGGGATCTATGTTATCTTTAGCTCATTTCGATGGAAAGGGCAATTTTTCTATTTGGCAACAAAAAATGAAAGGCATTTTTATCCATAAAAAATGTTTTAAAGCATTTCTCTAAGTGAGGAGGTTTTTATAACTGTTGCTAAACGTGAAGAACTTGATGAACTTGCTTATTCTGCTATTATCTTGAACCGTAGTAATTATGTGATTAGAAAAGTAGGAAAACACGATTCTGCTAGAAGTCTTTGGGATAAATTGGAAGAGCTTTATGTTGAAACTTCTTTGCCCAATAAAATGTTTTTGCTCGAAAAGTTTTTTGGATTCAAATTGGACTCAAGCAAAAATATTGATGCTAATATGGATGTTTTTACCAAGCTAGTTCAAGATATTAAATTATCTGGTGATAAAGAACGTTGATGATTATACCCCTGTTGTGCTCTTGAATGCTATTCTTGATGTTTATAATGATGTTAAGTCTGCTACTAAGTATGGTAGATATAAGGTTACATTAGATACTGTGATTAATGCTTGAAAAAGCAAAGAGCTTGAATTGGGAATCAATAGGAATAAGTCGTTTGGTGAGATTAATTTTGCTAGAGGAAATCAGCCTGATCGCTTTCAAAACAACAAGGCTTCTTCTTGTCAAATTGATCAAAATAAGAAAAAGGGTGAAGATTGGAGTAAGTGGAAGGCTAATCCTAATAATAGAAGGTGTTTTAGTTGTGGTGACCATAATCATTTTATTAATGAGTGTCCCAAGCCTAAGAAAACCCGACATAGAGATCAAGCCAATATGATATCCGATGGTGATGTATTCTAATGTGTTAGAATATTTGCATTACTTTGTGTTTTGCTTGTTATTATATTACTTTCTGTTTTGTTTGTTATTTGCATTACTTTGTGTTTTGCATGTTATTTGCATTACTTCGTGTTTTGTTTTTTAAACTTGTACTAACTTTGTGTTTTGAGTGTAGGTAGTGTCATACGACAATGATGACTTCGTTTCTCTTAAAAATGTCCGATGATCCATTTGGACCAGGTGGAGATTTGTAGAGTGTGGCCCAAATATATTCTTTGTGAATGGCCCATTCATCAATCTATCTTACAACCCACTTAAGAGCAACCCATACAATTTGAGCCCAAAGTTAAAGTTAGGCCAATCTCACTTTGGTTTTTCCCTTTTCTCTCTCGCTTTACTGTTTTCTATCTCTCGTTGTTTTCCGCAGATGATTTCATTCTGCTCCTTTTTTTCTCTCAACAAATATTTTTTCTTATCCTCAACAAATCTTGGTGATATGTTGCCTGGTTCTTCGTGAGTTTGGTGGACGATTTTGTTGGGATCAGGCACGTGTACGCAGCGGAAAACAAAAAAAATATTTTATTTATATAAAGTAATTTATATAAACAAGCACGTCCACAATAAATTACAATTAATTGCGTACCTTTTCTGATGCAAATGGAACCATAAGAGACGAAGTCCACCAAGAGCCACTAAGCTTGCCAAGCGGACCAATCACAAGGCTTAGAGCCAAGCGTTTCAAGGAAGCATTATATGGGCTGATTCAAGAAGAAGTTGAGATGGCAAACAATTGGAGGCCCAACATCAGTTCAAATCTATGTACAAGCCCATTCGCAATTCAAATGGACCCAAATCAGATTGAAGGGAAGTCAATCACAAAGATATCAGTTATGGAAGGGTCTAACTGAAGCAATCACGTTTTTCAAGGATTTGGAGAGTCCTTCACTTTTGCAATTTCAGCTTTAGAATATCAATATTCTGATTTAGACGTTTCCTTAATTTAGAATCAATAATTGTTAATTAAATTGGCTGATTTGTGGCTGATTTGATTAGATAGATAATAATTCCTTAATCTTAGTTTATTTCCATAGATTAGAGAATATTGAACCCTATATAAAGGGGCTAAGTTGTATGTTTCATGAATCAATTCAGAAATCATTTTTTGTGAGATATTAGTATTCTTCTTTCTATCTTGAAAGAGCTTTTGAACTTATAAAGTTATCTTGTGGCGTTCAAACAATCAGACTTATCATCAAGATTCTTGAATCCATCTTGAACTCTTGGTGTAGCGTCTTCGTATCCATTGTAATCTTGGTTCGTGATTTACTAATCATTGGGTCAAGGTTCGACAAACTTGTTTCTTTGGGGGGTCTTGGGGTTCGAAAACCATATATTGTTATTGGGTTTCGTCACATGCTGACGTAGTTCATATCAGTTGGTATTCAGAGCCTTGGTTTCAAAGGCAAGTTTCAATTTATCTTGTAATTACGTATTTTTTGCTCAAAGAAAGCAACAAAAAAAAGAGAAAAAAAAAACGAAAAAAAAAAAGAAAAAAAAAAGAAAAAAAAAAGAAAACAAAAAGAAAAAAAAAAGAAAAA